GACTGACCTCTTCCCCCCCACAGTGCCCGCTTTGGCCACTGGCACAAGAACAAGGTGGGCACCGAGGCTCGGCCTGGACCTAGGCTCATTGTGTACATCGTGGGTGGTGTGGCCATGTCAGAGATGAGAGCCGCCTATGAAGTGACCAGGGCCACTGAGGGCAAGTGGGAGGTACTTATTGGTGAGTAGCCAGGACTGGGGTTCTCAGGGGGCTAGAGTTGGACTTGGGGGTCCCTGAGGGACTGGAGCTTAGGCCACTAGGTGTCTAGGGATGGACTCTGGGGTCCCTGGGGTGCTGAAATTAGTCTCAGGTCCCTGGAGGTCTGGTGTTGGTCCCTAGAGATTTGGGATTGGATTTTGGGAGCCCTGGGGGGCTGGATCCTAGACGCCAGGTTTTCTGAGGGGCTGGGACTTAGGTTGCCAGGGAAGGGGTCACCTGGGGCCTGCACTCCCACATTCCTAATTCTCTAGACTCCTGAATTATAGAAAGTCAGGCTCTTGGTTTGCTGAGGGGCAGGGACAGGCCTCCAACCAGCCAGGACCCAGAGGCCAAGGAAGCACCCTGTTCCTCCCCAATCTCCCCTTCTCACCAGGCTCGTCACACATTCTCACCCCAACCCGATTCCTGGATGACCTCAAGACACTGGACCAGAAGCTGGAGGACATTTCCCTGCCCTGACCTTGTGCCCCACCTCTGATTCCTCCCTTTACAGAGAAATAAATCTGCCCTCTCTCTACCAGCGAGCACCCACCTTGCTTTCTTCCCAGGGAAGACCCTGGGAGCTGAGCTGGATCAGGCCTGTGCTGCAGGCCTGACACACGCTGCCAGAACCTTCCCCTGGCCCCGAGGGCATCCTCAGCCCTTGGGGAGGTTAAGAACCCTGCTCAGGTTTGGCAGTGGGTGGCCCTGAGGCTTACCAGCTGTGAGGCCCTGGCTACCTTGCTGGGTCCCCCGTGCAGAAATGAGGCCATTAATAGCAGCTGCTTTGCAGAGAAGATGACAGTGTGGGAAAACTGACAGCACAGGACGCTGGCAGGCTCTCCACTCACTGGAGTCCTTGTGGCCGTTGTGACAGGGCCGTTACTGTTACATTAACAAGCACAAAGGGCTGGTGGTGTTCTCCCCTCCTCCTTCCCCAGGACTGTCCCAAGGGGGCCTGCAGCCACATGCAGCTGAGGTTGTGCCTGGCTCTGGGAATGAGAGTCAGCCTTTGGTCAGGCACACCTGACCTCGCCCTGCTCGTTCTCCCAGGTGTTCACCGGCTCCTGACTGCAGGACGGATCAGAGCCTTTACTGGAGCGTTTGTTTGCGAGGGTTGCCACAGACTGGCTGGCTTCACAAAAATTCATTGTCCTGTAGTTCTGGAGGCTGCACGTCTGCGCCAAGGTGCCAGCCAGGTCGATTTCTTCCGAGGCCTCTTGGCGTGTAGACAGCGTCTTCTCCCTGTGTCCTCACACGGCTGTCCCTCAGTGTGTTAGCGTCCCAATTTTCTCTCGTAGGGACACCAGTCATCTTGGATTAGGGCCCACCTTATGACCTCATTTTCACTTAATTATCTCTTGAGAGACCTCATCTCCAGGTCATTCTGAGATCCTGGGGGTCAGGGCCTCAGCATGTGAACACCAGGGAGTCACAAGTAGCCTCCAGCACTTGGCTGAATGGAGCGTGAATAAGAGCGGTGAGGACAGACTCAGCCCGGCAGGCCACCAGAGGCCACGGCAGGGGGGCTGTGGGAGGCAGAGGGCACCCAGGCAGGGGTGGTTAGGGACGACTTTCCCTGCGAAGAGTGAAAATCCAGAGGGGCTGAGGAGGCTCAGTGGGGACAAAGGCTAGAAGGTGGAAGAGCAGCCGGCTGAGCTGGAGGGAGGGTATTGGCCAGCGACAAGATCTGAGAGCGCTAGGGCCACGCGGCCCGGTGAGGATTTGGGTCCCTGCTGGAGGGACGGGAACCACACGGTGTAACTGTGGCCCCGTGCCCTCTAGAAAGAGGTCCCTGAGGAGGGCACGGGGAGGGGCGGGGAGGCTGGGAACGGCGCCCCCTGGTGGGGAGCTGGTGGTTTCCTCTCGGTCACCTCCCGGGTTGTGGCCCATCCCAAGGCTGGGCCAGGAGTGGAGACAGGGCACAGGGGACCCTCCTGATTTGGAGTCACAGATTTGTTTGCGAGTTTAGGGAAATTTAAGGACACTTCCCCCCAAATTGCACACATCTTTGTGCAGGTGGAGCCTGAGACAAACTGCGACTCAGCAGTTCTAGCAGATTTCTGGGTCTCCCACCCAGGGCAGAAGTTGGGCACGCTGATGTGGAGCGGATGGGGTGCGGGCAAGAAAGAAGATTTGACGCCAGCCCCTGAGACGGCGTCCTGAATACCCTAGGGCAGGGACCCGTTTTAACTGGCGGAAGACGGGGGGAGTGGGAGGGACACGGTTTTATTATTTAAACTCAGGGTCGTGGGAAGCCGCGGCTTGGCTCCGGGTCCCGTCTGTGTGGTTAAGCGCAGAGAGCGCCAGGGGGCGCTGCGGCCCGGCTTTCCGGCTTCTTTGCTCCTCGGTCTGTGTCACTGAGCTGGGCGACCCTAATTAGAGATGACAGGAAGTGGGTCTAGGGTTCCTCTGTGTTTCTCAGCGAAGACAAAACCCTGTTGTGTAAACCACCTCCGTTTCTGCTCCTTATACTTAGATGACATAATGTTTCCGCACTAAAGACAAATATTGTAAATATTCACAGGTCCCTGGGGACAACAGCCTCTGGCATTATTAGTCCTAGAAGGGCATCTCACCAAGCCCTCTACGCACATTCGGCAGATCCTCAAAACCTCGTATTTGGGAATAAACCCCAACCTCCTCTCTCTGCATCCAGTGATATTGACCTTCGCAACTCATTGTCCACCTCTTAGGCTGATGTCCCGCTAACAGGCCACACTGTTCCTGCCCAGGGCCCTTGCACCTGCTGCTCCTGGCCTGCAACTCCCTCTTCCTCCTTTTCCATCTCTGCTCAGTTGTCACTACCTCAGAGAGCCTCACAGTATTGATTGCTGCTTGGCACATTTTCTTTTTTGTTTTCTTCCTGGCCCGTGGACTGTCTGACATTCTAGATTGGTTGGTTGCTTCCTCGTGGCCTAGTGTTAACTTTTTCTCTAAAATACACTCCCCTTTGCCCTCCTATTTCTCCTGTCAACAGGTGCTTGGGACAACAGCCTTGGTTACAACCAGATTCAGCTGTAGCCAGAATAATACATGAGGCTGGATACTTCCTTCCTCACGTGAGGGGCTCTGTAATGCCACCTAGCTAAGACTGGTCACCAGGCTCGGGGGCTGTCCCTTGTCTCAGTAACTCTCCACCTGAAGATGTTAGCAGCCACCAAGTCTAGGTCCATTATCCCTTGAGGATTATTTCCAACTGCATCCTTCCTGCCGCTGGAATTAGCCGGAGGGACAGAATTTTCTCTTTTAGCAACTAGTTGGTTTGTCCACAGTAACATCCTGATGCATTTTCTTCAGTGTTATTTCTGGGGTTCCTCAAGGTCACTGGACACATGAGCTCAGCAGGGAGGAATGGAGTGGGGACAAGTCTGAAGGTCATTTGCGGTTACATTGTAAATACCTAGTAATCCCCCGCCTACCCCAGGCTGCGGCTGCCCTGGTAACAGTGATGGGGCTTCCTGGGCAAGAACACTGGTGGGTTGGTTTATTTATGTACATCACAGGGGCAAGAGCTTCTCCTGTGTTGCCCGGAGACTCTAGAATGATGGGTGGAATAGCAAGAGGGAAAGGTGGGTGGGCTTGAACTTTCTCAACTTAAAAAAAAAAAAAAAAGTCAAGTGCTGCAGTGTGGCTCGGGGCAGAGGGCTTGCCTAGCCTGGTGTGTCACCCCGGGCACCTCAGGGTCCAGGGCAACCTGCAGTTTCCAGCTCAACAGGAGAGGGGGCGCTGGGACGAGGAGCCCAGGACCCCTGGCAGGACAAATAAGGTGGGGTGGAGAGCCCGGGGAGGGGCTGGGTGCCCGCAGGCAGGAAGGGGAAGTTAGCCCAGGAAAGCTGCGGAAATGACAAGAGTGGAGAGAAGACACCGCGTGCCCTGGGGGACTCCAGACAGTGAGGAAGCCAGGGAGCTTCCCTTTTTACAAATTTTTTAGGGGTAAAGTTGCTCAAAATCTTAAAACACATATTAACCAACAGTTTCACCCAAGGACATTGTGAAAAAGGGTCAGGTGGGGAAATGTCCCTGCGAGCAGAAGGGTTTTACTCCGGTGGAACCAGAAATGAGACTTCCCGGGGCCTTGGGAGTGGGTAGAAAGGACAGGGAAATCTCAGTCACAGGCCCCTCCACCTTGGCTCCCACCATAGTTCTCTTCTGAGACCCCTCAGAATCTCAGTGGTTGAGCTGGGCACCGTGGACACACCCGCAATCCCAGCAGCTCGGGAGGCTAAGGCAGGAGGATCACGAGTTCAAAGCCAGCCTCCTCAGCAACTCAGTGAGGCTCCGTCTCTAAATAAAATATAAAAAAGGGCTGGGGTGTGGCTCAGTGGCTAAGCACCTCTGGGTTCCATTCCCAGTACCCTCCCCCCCCCAAAAAAAAAAAAGAATCTCAGTGGTTGGGGAAAATTCTAGAAAACTCATGAAAGGCAAAGTTTATGAAGCCCTTACTCTGTGCCAGGCCTCATCCCAGGTGCATGTAAAACACTCTGTCCTCACCATGGCCCTGTGAGGTCATCGCCACTAACGCTCCTGTTACAGGTGGGGAAACTGAGGCCCTGTGGTGCTTAGCTGTGTACTTAAGACCACAGGGAGCTGGGACTTGACCTGGGGAAGGGGCTTCAGCATCCCTTATGCATAACCACCCAGCATCCATGAACCCCCTGCACACTTCCCTGTGGTTGTCTGGGTGCCCTGAGCAGGGCTGGGGGAGAACCAGGAGGGAGGGGGCCGGAAGGAGGCAGGTCGTCCTGGGTGGTGGGGGCGGGCATGGTGTGGTGGGAGAAAGCCTTGCTTAAAAGTAAGGACTGTGGCACTGACAAATTGCCATCTGAAATCCAGCTGTCTGGGGGGCCTTTCCCACGCGGCTCCCCCCCATGTTAGCTGTTGTCTGTGCACAGCTGCCCAGGGCTCCTGCAGCCGTGCGGGAGGGGATGCGTGTTCACTCCTGGCTGCTGAAGAGCTGGGTAAGGGGGGGCCCAACTTTATACCAGGAAACCAGGCCAGACGCGTCCTGCCCACCACCTTCCCCTCCAGTCCCTTGAGTTCCTCATTTGGGGGTGGGCGGGTGGCTTCACCACCCCCCCCTTCATTCCTTTCATAGTGTGAACTTGTGCGTTCTCTGTTTTTGTTTTCAAATAGGGATACTTTATTCCTGTAATTTCTTTAAGGGGAAGAGGAGATGTGGAGGAGCAGCTCAGAGGATTCAACACAGCAGATACGCCGCGCCAGCAAGTCTGAGGTCCAGTGCGCCACACCAGGGCTGTGGTGACACTATTGTGGGCAGGGTTTTTGCTAAGAGATCTTACCTGTTCTTCCTACCCACGGGCACAAAAGTTGGTAAATGTGCAACGAGGATGTGTTAATTTGCTTGACTACTGTAACCATTTCACTACGTGCATTTCAAAACCTTACGTTGTGCACCTTAAACATATTACAATAAAATTTATTTTAGCTGGGTGAGGTGGTGCATGCCTGTAATCCCAGTGGCTCAGGAGGATGAGACAGGAGGATAGAGAGTTCAAAGCCAGCCTCAGCAACTTAGTAAGGCCCTATAAGCAACTCAGCAAGACCCTGTTTCTAAATAAAAGGTAAAAAAAGGGCTGGAGATGTGGTTCAGTGGTTAAGCACCCCTGGGTTTAATCCCTGGTACCAAAAAAAGAAAAAAAATTTTAAAGAAAAAAGGTATAGGAATAGTCTCAAAAGATTTTTTTTTTTTAAGAAAAGCTACCACCCACACACCTTTTGGTGGCTAAGAAATGATAGTCCTGAGGCCACTCCAACTTGGGATCAAATCTGGGCTTCTGCATATACTGGCTGTGTGACCCAGGACAAGTTGCTTAGACTCTCTGGGCCTCACACTCTCCTTTTGTGAAGCAGAGGTAATAACCATATCTCCCTAACTGGATGGTTACACGGATTCAATAAGGTCATGTGTGTGAGTTGCTCAACACAGATTCAGGCATTGCACAAGTTGTTGATAGGTTGTTTTGCAACTCACAGGTGTTGGGTAGGGTGGTGGGGAGAGCCTGAAGCGAAAGATCTGTCGGATTCTGCAGGACTTCCCTTCCCCCTGGAAGGAACATTGAGAGGCAGGAGCGGGTTTCCCAGAGAAAACCTAGGGTTGTTAACACCGGAAATCTCTCACTGTGTTCCTCATGCTTCCCTGGCCCAAGGCTCTCCTGTCCCCACAGGTCCTGCGGCCTCCCCTCCCAGGCCCATCCTGCACACTGGATTCTCCCCAGGTCAGAAGCGTTGGCCCAGATGGGCCGAGGGCGCTCCCCAGCACACTGCTGAAGAAACCGGACAGCGGCCAGGGCTTTCATTTCCCTTCATTCACAGTGGACGGGAAGCAAGTGTCCGTGATTCTTTTCTGATTTGATAGAGCCACCTGCCATTGCAATCTTGTCACCAAGGCAACAAGTTATCATCTAGTAAGGCGACCAATCAGCAGCCGGGGCTTCCTCTGCAAGATGGCAACAGTTCCTAAGCTTCCTAGTGATACAAGTCCCCTTTGTTTGAAGAAGGCGTCAAGGACAGATGTCTATTAACAGCAAAGAGAGCAAGTTGGTGGCAGTTATGAATATTTATAAAGAAAACCAGTTGTATGAGGCAAAAAAAAAAATCCTATGTGGCTTCAGGGGACACAGAAGCCATTTCCTCTGGATCTTTCAGAAAGTCCTTTTTTCCTCACTATAAACTGTGAGCATAAAAGGGGGGGCGGTGGGGGAGGCACACACCTGTCATCCCAGCGGCTCGGGAGGCTGAAGCAGGAGGATCGAGAGTTCAAAGCCAGCCTCAGCAATGGTGAGGCCCTAAGCAACTCAGTGAGACCCTGTCTCTAAATAAAATACAAAATGGGGCTGGGGATGGGGCTCAATGGTCGAGTGCCCCTGAGCTCAATCCCTGGTATATATATTTTTTTAAAAAAAGCAGGATTAAAAAAAAAAACTGTGAGCATTGGAGGTGCTGGTTCCGTGGCTGTGTGAAGGAGTTTGCTCTCTGTCAGGGATACCTTAATAAACCTGATTTAAATAAACTCTACTTGGGAAAAACAAAACATTCACTCAGCATGCTGGCATCAAATGGAACACTTCAGAGTGCATTTTCTTACGTATAAATTGTATTTCAGTAAAATAGATGTTTTTAAAATTTGTGTTTGTTATTTGTGGAATTTCCTTGGGCAGCATCAGATGCAAAATTGAGGCCAAGTAGAGACCATTTTCACCAGTAGAAATTGGCAGGATGAAAGGGCTTTATTTTTTTAAAAGAGAATTAAGGCTCTTTCTTGTTTCTGACCCAAGGGTTTTCAAACTGAGTCCCTAGGGAACCCTAGGGATCCCACATACTACCTCACTTTCTCTTCCACTGTTCTAGCTGCTCGGTTCTTCTAGCCCTTCAAAAGCTCTTATCTGAAAAGTTCTGTGGATAAAGAGTTTGAAAAGAAGAACTCTTAAAAAAAAAAAAGACCCCCCCCTTTCTGTGTCTGATGCTGGGCATGAAAACCAGGGCCTCCCGTATGCTGGGCAAATGCTCTGCCACGGATTGGCACCCCCAAGTCCCCAAATGATTTTTGCTTCCTTGTGCAATCTCTGTTGAGCACAGGCTGTGTTGAGGGTCTTCAGGGAGAAGGGCTGAGCTGGGACTTGATCTGGACAAGATCTGGCAAGAAAGTGGACCTCAAAGTCCCCACAAGGACCAGTGCAGAGGGACAGGATTTCTTTCTTCCAACCAGGCTCCCGCCTTCCTGCCTCATTAGATTGCTCTCAGTTCCTCAAAATGGGGACACAATGTTCCCTCCACCCAGAAGGCCCTCCCTGGCTTGTTCCCTGGTCAACTCTCGCCTGCCCTCCACCTATCCTCAGCCATCTCTCCCTCCACTAAAACCTTCTTGGATTCGTCCACATGGGGCCAGAGTGTTACGTTAGAAGTTCTTATGGAACTAGGTTCTTCTCTGTACAGGAACAGCACCCGAGTCTGCGTGAGTATCCTATTGGTGTCTGTCTTCTCCCAACACATAAGGCCAAGTTCCACGGTGGCAGGAGCAGTGTCCACCTGCGCTCTATTGCATGCACAATACTAAGCACAGCACCTGGCACATAGTAGATGCACAATAAATAGCACCTCCACTTTGGACCTGCAGACACTGTTGAATTTACACAGCAATCTCATACATACATGTTACTTTTATGGAAACATAACGTGCATAGAGAAAATTATGCAAATGTAAGCGTACAGTTCAAATCGTGCATTAATCCCAGAAACCTTCCGTGTCCCCATATCCTTACTACCTTGGATTCTCCAGGAAACTTCCTTCATCATTTCCAACAGCATACATTAGTTTTGTCCTTTTTTTTTTTGTCCTTCTGTGTGAGTGGATTTGTGTGGCATGTCCTCTTTTATGTCTGGCTTCGGTGCTAACATGATAGCATGTGAACCATCCAGATTCTCTGCACAAAGTTGGAGTAGACAGCCTCATCTCTAGATTGCTAGAGGCCAGGGGTGGGAATTGTTTTTTTCTATAAAGAGCCATAGTAACTGTCACAACTACTCAACTCTCTCATTGATGTGTGAATGCCATTGACATGTGAAAGCAGCCATAAATGTACTTTTAAAAGTGGGGGCTGGGGTGTAGCCCTGTGATAGAGTGCTTGCCTAGCCTGTGCAAGGCCCTGGGTTCCATCCCCAGCACCCAAATCAAAACTAACTAACTAATTAAAAGTGGGCATCTATGTTCTAAGAAAATTTCATTTATGGATACTGGAATTTGAATCTCATATCATTTTACGTATCATAAAAGGTTAAAAAAATTTTGGATTGGTTTTTAAAATGCAAGAATGGGTAGCTCCTCAGAAAGTTAAGCATAGCCAGGGGTGGTAGGACATGCCTGTAATCCCAGGAACTTGGGAGATGGAGGCAGGAGGATCACAAGTTCAAAACCAGCCTCAGCAACTTAGTGAGGCCCTAAGCAAGTCAGTGAGACCCTGTCTCAAAATAGAACATAAGATATGGGCTGGGGAGTGTGGCTCAGTAGTTGAACACCCCTGGGTTCACAAAAAGGAAAGCATAGAATTGGCCTATGATCAGGCAGCCTCTCTTCTGCATCGTGCTAAGTTAAACAAGCCAGAAACAAAGGGATCCATGTCCTATGACTCCAGGTATATGAGGTCCCTGGAGTGGACAAATTGGCAGAGTAGAATGGTGGGTGCTGGGGAGCGGGAGGGAGGAGAAGGGGGAATGAGCGTTGAACAGGGGCAGAGTTTGTGCTCTGGATGAGGAGACAGTTCTGGAGATGCATGGTGGCCCCCCAACAAACACGGTGGAGGTGCTTAATGCCACTGAACTGTATGCTTAAAAAATGGCTGACTTTATGCTCCCGGTATTTTATTACAACCAAAATCTGCTGTGTTGGAAACTTAAAAAATAGCAAAAATATAACAATTGTTCTTAGCTAGGGGATGGCCCCAAATAAAAGGTCTACACCTGGCCACCGGCCACAGTTGGCCAGTTTGCCTCACAGATAGTTCTGCAGAGGCAATCGACACGGTCTTGTGTCTCTATTCTCTTGCTGACGGGCATTCAGGCATGAACAGGCCCACAGAGGCCATCAGGGACAGCACCCTGTGTCCCCGCACGCAAACTTTTGCTTCTCTCTCCCTCCCTCAGATCTCGGCCCCTGGAGTGGTCACCCATGCTCCCTCCTGACCAGTCCCCAGTGGAGGCAGGGGGGCTGCTGAAGGAGAGGCTGTGGCGGGGAGGAGGCAGAGTCACCCTCTGGGGCCTCCATTCCAGGGGCTTCCTCTTGGCCCGGATGTGGGCAGGGAGGGCCCAGGGACTCAGCTGTCAAGAAGGAAGCCCCACACCCAGACAGACGCCTCGGGAGAGCTGTGTGGCACAGGATTTCGACTGTTTCCTACTGAGTCCGCCAAGGGGTAAGTGAGAGCTCTCCCCGTCGTGTCCGGGGGCCCAGCGCAGACCCGTGCCCCCAGCTCCGGGCTTCGGGCACGTGGGCCTGATCCTCCCCACCATGGAAGGGAGCTGACCCAGAGGCGGGTCTTGTCTCCTCTCACAGCACCTGCGGGATGAGGACTCTCTGCGTCCTTCTCCTCCCTGTCCTGGGGTTGCTGGTGTCCAGCAAGTCATCGTGTCCCATGGACGAAGCCATTGATGAAAAGATCCAGGGGGGCATCAGCTCCCTAAGTGAGGATTCTCATATCTATTCCAGAGATCAAACCCCAGCTCAGTGCTAACCAAACCTCACACCCAGACCGCGAGCTCAACCCATCCCCACTCCCAGCTGTGCCCAGCCCTACCTGGAAACAGCTCCGAATTCAATCCCAAACTAACCCCACCTGTCACCTCAAACTTGGGGGCTTACTCCAGAACAGAGGACCCTGGAGGTGGTGGCCTTTCCACCAGGACCTGGACCACCTACCTGGGCCTTCCCTAGGGAAACTGTGTGTTTCTGGGGATGGATCCCAGGGCCTCCTGCCTGCCAGGCCAGCGCTCTACCACTGAGCTGCACCTGTGGCCGTCCCCAGGGGAACCTCTGCTCCCCTGCCTGGCTCCAAGCCAGCGCCTGGGGATGCGGGAGGACAGCTTGGTCTCACAGCCTCCCACCCCACTTCTGCAGTTTTGGCAGCAATACAGAACATCCGCCTCGACTGCAGGACCGTCACCTCCAGGGGGAACCTGGCTACCTGCCCTGCAGGTGAGTGCATGAGCCTGTAGTTCAGGCTCAAGTTTGTCCCCAGCCCCTGGGAAGATCCCATCCTGAGCTTTTACTTCCTTAGTGTCCAGATCCCTCATCCAGCCTTGTCCCCCTCCACTCCAGCTCCGGTACCTCATTTCCTTAGGGCACTGGTGTCCAGGCCCCCAGCTTCCCTGCCCCCATGTATCCTGTATCCACTCCCTGGTCGGAACCCGTGGCCCCCACCCCGCCCCCACCCCGCCCCAACCTCCTGGCTCCCACCCCCAGGCCTCTCTGTCACCGCCTGCACGTGTGGCTCAGCCTGTGGCTCATGGGACGTGCGCGCCGAGACCACGTGCCACTGCCAGTGCGCGGGCATGGACTGGACCGGAGCGCGCTGCTGTCGTCTGCAGGCCGCCGCCTGAGGTCGATCACGCTGCGCCCCAGGGAGGGGTAGGGGGGCTGCAGAAATAAACGGAAAGAGATGGTGACCAGCAGACCTGGCCCCGTGCAGCTGGGCGGGGCGGGCAGTGGGGAGGACGGGCTGAGCGCGCCCCTGCGGAACCCACGGAACCCAGGGAACCCACGTGCCAGACCAGGACAGGGACGCCCCCTTCTTCTGCTCCTTCCCTCTCCTTTGCCTGGTGTCTCCACCTCTTCCTCTGCTAGTGGGACCCCGACTTCCTCCATTAACACCGCCAGCTGAGGGCTCAGGGCACCTTCAAGAGCCAAGTGAGTCTCACCTTTGAGGCCACCTTGACGGCCTCGGTCTCCTGCCTCCCAGGAAACCGCTAGTGTCATCCCCCACCCCAAGACTTCATGCAGGATCTGGGTCAGTCCGTTGTGGGCAGGACACTCAGGGCCCTGAGTCCCCAGCGACCCTGGGCTCCAGGATTTTGTTATAATGATGCTAAGAGGACTAATACACGTGGTCACACAGAGATGCCATAACTACAGGCACGCCCATGTCCCCACAGACACACAGCGATAAGAAAGACACCCCTGAATCCACGTGAAGAATGACAGACACACCCATGTTGGAGGACAGACTAAGTGTCACAAACATATGTGTCCCTGACAGACTCTTGTCTTCTGGTAGCTGGTCCCCACCCCAACCTGAATGCACACCCAATGCCCTAGAGGGCCCCCCAGCCCCACCCCCAGCATCCTTTACCACAGCTCCCAGGGCAGAGGACAAATCTAGGTGACTCAGGGTCCAGGTCCCCAGGAATCCTGACCCAGGGGCTAGGGATCCAGCCCCTGAGAGGCAGCTAGAATTCCTAGCACCCACTCTTGAAAGACCCAAAACTCTAATGTCACCCTGCAGGATTAGGGATAGAATGGTCCTGGGTTTCAGGGTGTATGGAGCCTTCCCCCCACTGCCTCCCACTGCTCAGCCCCTTACGCTGAGTGACCGTGAGCAGAGATCATTCTACTCCTGGGGGCTTCCCCCCCCGACTACAGTGTGGCCTCAGGACTGAGTGGGATGGTGAGTCAGAGGCGTGGCCAGGACCAGAGAGGACAAGTCTAGGCCTTGCATGTCCCTCCTCTTCATGACGCATGTGTGTAGCGGAGCTCCCTGGTCCCTAGACCCTAGTGTGAGGGCCCCACCCAACTGTCCTCCTGTGTCTGGACCCCAAGAAGGGCCTCTTCAGAGCCCTCAATTCCAGCTCAGCCATCTGCCTGTCCTAGCACACAGACTCGGATGTTATATCTGCCTATGTGACCTTGGGCAGGCAAGCCCCGTCCTTGAGTCTCTGTTTCCTCAAAAGTCAATGCCCTAGCTCCCTGTCGTGGCTAAGATTCTTGTGGACACAGGGCCACAGGCCCCAGGTCAAGCTAGGTTGAGTGCGGAGGGAGGGGGGGAGGAAGTTTTGGTATGTGTGACTGCTGAGAGCCCCAGTGCCAGAACAGCAGGTTCAGGAATGGCTGGATCTAGGGTCTCACATGATGGCTCCTGGACCAGATTCCCCCTCAGCTCTGTTTTTCTCAGTGCTGGCTTCCTTCTCAAGCAGATTCTCCCCTGTCACAATACCAGGCTTACATTATCCCAGTCTGGAAGCCTCCGTGGAAATAAAAAAGAAAGAGCGCCTTTTTTCCCCTTGTTAACCCAACAGAAATCCCAGACCAGAGTTTCATTGGCCACGCCTGTGCCAAAGCTTAGTTTCTGATTGGTTGAACCTGGGTCATGTGCTCACCCTTAGCCAATCCCAGTTTTGTGACCCACTGGACGGAGGGCACTTTTCTATCTTAAAGTCGAGATTGTTATCCTATGAAAAGTGGGCGTTGGTCAGGTAACCCCAGGAATGTGTCCGGCATGACAGGGTGGCTTGTGGGCCTCCTGTTCAGTGGCTTTTCCTCTAAGGAAGTCTAGATGGCTGGAGCCAGTCTCAGGCTCATCCAAGAGAAATATGCAAAGTGCCGTCCGGCCCTCTGTGCCTGGCCCTCAGAGCAGAGCCGGCCTCCACTGGGTCCAGCCCCTCTGGGTCTGTTATGTAACTCAATGGCTGGTTTCTTTCTAAGACTGGATAGAGGAGCTGGCATGGAAACACTATTAAATTGATCTTTCCTGGGGATTTGGCAATATTTCGAAAACAGCATGTTATCCTCACTAGATCACGGAGTCCATTCCAAAATGATTTCGAATTTAATTTCAAGTTTTAAGCCAAACATAGAATGCTCACTTTCCTGCACATGGTCAGAAAGTCTTAGACTTCTCATTTTTCCCCCAAAGGGAATAAACTATAATACTCTTAACTTGCACTGTCCAATAGCAGGCATTGAACCTTGAAATCCGACCGTTTCGAAATAGAAATGGATCTTAAAATGCAAATGCACCTTTGATTTCTAAGATGAGGAAGAAAGGAAAGAAAGAAGAAATGAAGGAGGAAGAAAACAATATAAACGATCTTTAAACAATCTTTATTGACGTCTTGTTGTTGAGATGGGGGAGGGGATGGCTTGAGCCCAGGAGTTCAAGTTCAGATGGCTATGTTGCCAGGCCGGCCTTGAACTCCTGGGCTCAAGCAATCCCCCTGCCTCAGCCCTGGGTAGCTGGGACTATAGGAGCACACTATGCCCAGCTTTGTTAATAATTTAAAAATATCACCTACATGCTGAAATACTAGTTTGGTGTATTATGCTAAATAAAAATAATATTGAAGTCAATTTAGGGCTGAGGGTGTGGCTTAGCGGTAGAGTGGGTTAGCATGTGGGAGGCCCTGGGTTTGATGCCCGGCATCCGCTCCCTACTGATAGACATGACGAGGCTGGGTGTGTAGCTTGGTGGCACAGCATTTGTAAGACCCTGGGTTCCATTCCCAGCACTACAAAAAAAAAAAAAAAAAAAAAAAAGGTATTTAGCTTATCAGGTGCTTTTTTTAAATGCAGGTGGTAAAAAATTTAAAATTAAACGTGTGGGTTTGGGGGTGTGGCCCAGTGGCAGAGCACCTACTTAGCCTGTGCAAGGCCCCGGGTTCTATCTTCAGCACTGCGACGGTGATAACAATCATTAATTAAACACGTGGCTCACAAATATCTATTGGAGACACAGCTCTAGACTTAAGCAAAAGTTCTTTAAATACTCTGTACCTTTTGTAGTCCCCATTTTCAAGGAGAAACACAAAAGGATGTTCAGGTACCTTCTAGACAGAGTGCAGTTCGTGTTTCTCTGGTGGCACGTGTACAAGAAGAATGACCGCAGCTGAGCTGTGATGAGCCTCCAGGAGCAGACGCGTGGCTGCGGGGTGTGTACTTGGAGGTGTGTGTAGCCGGTCGCATGCCTGTCATCCCAGCAACTTGGGAGGCCCAGGCAGGAGGATTGCAGGTTCAAGGGCAGTCTCAGCAAATTAGTGAGACCCTGTCTCAAAAGATAAAAAGGGCTGGAGATGTAGCTCAGGGGTGGAGTGTCCCTGGCTTCAATCCTCAGAATAAAAAAAAAAAAAAAAAAATGGAGATGTGTGTACATGTTTGTACTGTATGGCTGGTAGGGAGCCGAAAATGAGCGTCAGGGCTTGGGGGTGGCTCAGTGGTACAGAGTTGCTGGGCATGCATGAGGCTCTGGGCTTGATCCCCTGCCCTGGAGAAAAACAAACAAACAAACAAACAACAACAACAACAAAAAAACCAGGAAAACAAAAGAAAAAGACCCCACTGGGGTCTTGAGGGTGGGGGGAAAGTGTACCCCCAGGGTCTGTCTAAGCAGGGGCTGGGGTGTGCTCTGACCTCGGGGCTGGCGGGGGGCATCAGTCCCCATGGTGCCCTCATGACCTCAACTCTGTTCCTTTCCGCCACAGGGTCTTGGAGAAGCAGAACTTTTGGGTTTGGGGTAGAGCTGAGAAGCGGGAGTGGATGGGGGGGGGAGGTGTGAGGGGACCAGGAATCCCACCTCCAAGCCCGACAGCCTTTGCCCTAGAAGATGAGGCTCTAAGGTGGCCCAGCTCTTCTACAGACAGGAGACAGAGGAGGGAGGAGGGGAAAGTCCATCCTGGTAGGCTCCCCCCACCACCACCACCTTCTCTCATCACTGCCTGTAACATGTCAATTCTGTCTCTGGGCCAAAGGGTTCCTCTTCTTGGCCACCCCTGAGACGTCTGGCCTTCTTAATCTGAGGGGCAAGGATGCACCAAGATGAGAGGGTCATGGATTTCTGAAAACCAGAAGGCAAACCCCTTTCTTCCTCTTCTGCCCCAAAATTTCCTCATCTCCCCAACACTTTCCGGTGGGTGTGGATGTGTGGACACTCTAGCAGGCCAGGGACCAAGCACCCTGAAATCTACATAGCCAGCACTTCAAGATGCAGGCAGCAGCCTTCAGAGACAAGAAAGGGGGAAACACGGGCGATCACAAAGGTCAGGAACCTGGGCGTGGGCCGGGGGCGGTCAAGAAGGAGGGTTGAGATAGGAGAGAGAAGGGGCCCAGGTGGGGGCTGGAGGGGTCCTCCTCCTCCAAGATGCACGGTCACCTGCTCTGCTTCACCACAAAGCAGACTTTAGTCTCTCACTCCTTTTTTGCCCCTGAAAACTTGCCGTGTTCAGGGACTGCGTGCACCAGGGTCTCCCTGTCCCCTTCCCTGCCTCTGGGTTCTCTGTAGGTCTCCATAACCTCTCCCACCAAATCTTACACAGATACCCATGACCCTGACTATGAGAATATTACCTTGACCTTCAGAAACCGGGACCAGCCAAGGGGCAGTCATCTAGCGCCCGTGAATCAAGGTGAGCCAGGCCTGACCGCCAGGCCCCCAACCTCAGGAAGGGGAATGTGGGAGGGCACTTCAGGGACAAGGGGCTGCTTCGTGGAGGTGAATGGTATGGAGTGTGGTGGTATCAAGGACTGGGATGGTGGCCGTGGAGGTGGCTTTGCAGGTGGTAATGGTGATGGCACATCTGAAATGTGGTGTGGGTGAGTGCTGGATACCACAGGCATCGATGTTGGCGGGTGTTGGTGGCACTGGGTAAGGTCTGTAAGGGGGTGTGTGATGGCGACGTGCTGGAAATGATCGCTGGTGGTGTGGGTGAGGGGGATGTTGTGGCAGCTTGTTGACAGTGACCATGAACGCTGTTGACGGTCACAGCTGCAGTGGTATTAAGAGCAAGCCGTCCATGGTGTCAGAGACAGAGCCAGGTCTGCCTGGCGGGGGGGGGGAGGGGCCTGGGGGTCACCGGCCTGCCTCTCTGTCTCAGTCTCAGCCCAGCCCAGGCCATCCTCGGACACTGCCCAGGTCCCTGCTTGGTTGCACAGAGCCATCATGAGCCTGTTTGTCCTTCTCGCCCTGACCTTTCTGTTCTTCATCACCCTCTCCATCTTGATGCTGTTGAAAAGTGAGAGTTCTTGGGGGAGAGGGGCGGGGAGGTCTGAGTGTCCACCTTACTCCCTCCCGATCCCAGCTCCCCTCCCTTTTCCCCAGCCCCGCTCCCAGGAGGGCTGACCCACGCAGCTTCCAGGTTTCCCCTGCCCTTTCCCGAACAGATTCGGAGATGTCTAGGGAGCTGCTGAGCTTGAAAAGGGAGCTTTGGAATGGTGAGTCAGGGGCCTCACGGGGAGACCCACAGGGTTGTGTGGAGATGGGGTGGTCACCCTGCCAACCCATGCCCATAGCCACGAACGCGGCTCAGGAGGGCCAGGAGGAGCAGAGGACGCATTGGAGAGCCATCCTGCAGAACTCTGGGGAGGCCATGAAGGGCATCAGTGAGATCAAGATCAAGGTCCAAAGTGGAAATGAAAAACTTAAGACAGTGGCAGCAGGTACCTTCAAGACCCACCTTTTGTTGGATGAATTTGTTTCAATGCTCACCACCAGGCTGGGTGCTGGGGCCTCGGGGGAAGAGACGGCTGGGCTCCTGACCTCCCAAATCCTAGGATTTGGAAGGGGTGATGGATGATGGCTCTGAGTTGCTGCACTCCAGGCTGGAGGCCTGCAGGGAGGGGCCTGCAATGGAGGCCTCATCAGTCTCTCCTTCCCTCCCACCAGAAATAACCCAAATCAATAAAAACACACAGAAGATCCTGGAGGAGCTGGGGAAGAAGATGAGCACACGTAAGCCAGGGCCCAGGGACGGGGGTCAGGGGAGCCTGGGCCTGGCCTCAGTGCCTCTCTCAGGGGGCTGGTCTGCCTGACCTTGGGTCTCTCCCCTCCCTCAGAGTCTACACCTCAATGAATAAGACACTGCAGCCACAACTTGGAGGACAGGATTGCAGCTGCCATCAAGATGAAAAATGCACTGTCAGCCTCCCCCTTGTCCCACGTATAGAAAATTGAATGTCATCATGACTGTGTTTCAGAGTTGCATGACTCTGTGTGTGTGTGTGTGTGTGTGTGTGTGAGAGAGAGAGAGAGAGAGAGAGAGAGAGAGAGAGAGAGAGAATATAGCATTTGGGGAAGCATGGGAGTTTCTGTGTCTCCCACAGGAAGGTGTTATGGGTGAATGTGAATGTGGGAGTCACAGCAAATGTGATGTGTATGCCTATGACACTCTACATACAGCACACACATATAAGTGGCATGACGTGAGTATAGGCATGTCTCAGCCATCAAGTATCCCCAAAGTATGCCATTGTGGATGTGGGTGGTGGTGACAGGTGATGCTCCTCTCACTGCATGAACATGAGTGCGCTGTGCTGCGCCATGTGTATACCTGTCATGGTGAGGTGGGAGCACACAGCTGTAGATGTGTCGTGTGCCAGCGTAAACAGGCTGTGTCATTCTGCATGTGCTGGGTTTTGTCACCCTGTGTGTTCAGAGCACAGATGTGCACGCGGCCACTTACTTCTGTATTCAGGCTTTGTGATTCATGAAGGTAAAAGTCAGGGGGAAACAATGTGGTTCTTGGCCTTGTTATTGGCATGACTCTGGGACTTGAGAACTCTGGGAGAAAGTGCTTGGGCCTGGGGGTGGGGCGAGTCAGTCACACAGAGCATGGATATGATGTGGGGAACCAGGGCGGGGAGGAGTCAGCAAGAATATATACTTTGTGTAGGTCCCTGGGAGTTCCTGAATGTGTACTCAGGGTGTAACTGAGTCCTTATGCCCCAGAGTGTGTGCCCATGGGCACACATGTGCCCCTAAATGCATGCAGCCTGAGATATACAATATGTCCCTAAGACCCATGCGTGTAATTGTGCCCATAAAGTATTGGTGCCACTCAGCAGTACCTATGGGTATACCTATCCCTGATCGCTCTACCCCACCACTTATGCCTTTAATTGATATAAGAGAACATGTGCTCAAGGGCATGCATGTGCTCCAGAGGCAAGAGACGTGTGCTCATCGTGGTACCTGTGCTCCTGAGCAGGAGACCACATGTACTGCTGTCCTCCCGCTCATGGGCCAACCAAAGCCATGGCTGGATACTCAGCCGCTGGCCCGGTGGATACGCGCGCCCTCCAGCGGCCATTCTCGGGTAACGCCGCGCGCGCCCCGCCCACACGCCCGGCCCCCCGCGCGCCTGCGCACGCAACGTCTTTTACGGCGTCGTAAAGAAGTGTGGCCGAACCGACGGCCTCAGTTCCCGGTGAGATCCCGCCCGCCTGCCCGCGACCCCTGCCCGGGCCAAGCCTCGACCGCTCCCCGACCCCTGCCCACGGGTCCGTGCGTCCAGTGCCGGGGTATCAGCGTCCGTGTTCCCGGGTTCGCCCGCTTTGGCCCACCCGGGGGGTCGCGCGCTGGGTGGGCCCTTCCCCTCCCCGCAGCGCCGCGCACCCCCCTCCGCAGCCTGGGCCGGGGCTCGGCGCTCCCGCTGCCGCCTCGCGCGAGCTCGTAGGCGCCGTCTCGGCATTCCCGGACCCTCCAGCTTCTGGCCGGGGCTCTGCATGGTGGGGGCGGGATTCTCCGCTTCCCTTCTGAACCCCGGTGGCGGCACCCTCACCCCAGGATGGAGAGGGGGGAGGGGAGGGCTTCTCGGCGCCCCCTCGCTCCATTTCCCCCTTGCACCCCCGGCAGCTGTGGCTTAGTGCGCTGCGGCAGGAGGATGCCGGCGCCCTCTTCTGGCTGCCCCGAGCTCGGCTCTGACAGCACGCCCCTCCCTCTAGTGTCCCTCCACCCATGAGGGACCCCCCACCAGACTAAACCACCCAGGCCCACCCAGGTCACCGTGCAGCCAGGCTTCCCAAGCGACAGTCGGAGCTGCCGAAGGGTGTGGGACTAGAATGGGGCTTTCCTTCATCCTCCTGGCTGGACCCAGGGATCTCACCTGCCCCCGTCCCTCTAGGCCTTTGGGCTGGATACAGCCCTTTCCTCCCTCCCCATGTATTTTGTCTTGCCTAGGGGTTAGGCAGGAAAGTTCCTGAAGGTGGTCAGTGTTGCAGCGTGCAACTCCGATGCGGACAGGTGGGGTGGGTGGTCCCCAGGTTTCCCCTGGCCCTCCCCGCCAGGTCCCCCTTCCCATCGTCCCTGACACGGTGTTCCGTGATCTCCCTACAGGGCCGCAGCGGCATGGAGGCGCGCTTCACGCGCGGGAAGTCTGCGTTGCTGGAGCGCGCACTGGCGCGGCCGCGCACTGAAGTGAGCCTGAGCGCCTTCGCGCTGCTCTTTTCCGAACTGGTGCAGCACTGCCAGAGCCGCGTCTTCTCGGTGGCTGAGCTGCAGGCGCGCCTGGCCGCGTTGGGCCGCCAGGTGGGCGCGCGCGTCCTCGACGCACTGGTGGCTCGGGAAAAGGGGTCCCGGCGGGAGACCAAGGTGCTGGGTGCGCTGCTCTTCGTCAAGGGGGCCGTGTGGAAGGCGCTCTTTGGCAAGGAGGCTGACAAGCTGGAGCAGGCCAATGACGACGCGCGCACCTTCTACATCATCGAGCGGGAGCCGCTCATCAACACCTACATCTCGGTGCCCAAGGAGAACAGCACGCTCAACTGCGCCAGCTTCACGGCCGGCATCGTGGAGGCCGTACTCACACACAGCGGCTTCCCTGCCAAGGTCACGGCGCACTGGCACAAGGGCACCACGCTCATGATCAAGTTTGAAGAGGCCGTCATTGCCCGAGACCGGGCCTTGGAGGGCCGCTGAGCCCGGGAGATAAAGGATGCAGAAAGCCCCTTTCCCAGTTGTGTCTTGTGTCTTGTGTGGGGGCTTCAGAGATGCACTCAACGCTGTGACCCAGGTCCTTTCCCGAGGCTGTGGAGCTTGTTTATAATAGGTGGGAAGGTGGAGGGTTTGACCTAGGTTGGGCTTTCAGATAAGGTTGGGATTTGGGTGAGGGGATTGGGAGGTCCCAAAGATAGGCCAGGCAGCGGGAGATGGTGGGAGTGCCAGCACTTTGTAGAATCACAGAGGCTGTCTCCAAGGTGGAGGGCTGGGGGATGGGGGTTGAGATCAGGCTAAGATGGCGCCCGGGATGGCCGACTTTGTGCCAGGGACCAGAGAGTAGATGCTTTATGCCCTGTGGTGTGGTCCCGTCACTCTGTTGACAGTCTAAAGGCTGCCTGAGAAGGTGCAAAGGAATGGGTGTGGCCGTGTGCCCTTAAAACAGGGTAAGAGTGTTGTTCCCTCTACCCCTAGACCTTTGTTACTCAAATGTGGTCCAGGGACCTGCAGCACTTGTATCACCTGGGCTCTTGTCAGAGTGCAAAATCTCTTAATCAGAATCTAAACTGTTGCAGAATCTTCTGGGGACCCCTGTGTACCTTAGTTTCAGAAGCAGTGCTTTAGGACATCAGAGTTACCTGAGAGTTTCTTAAAACAACTGGCTGGGGCCTACCCCCAGAGTCTCAGATCCTGCAGGTTTGTGGTGTGCTCAAGAATTTGCATTCCTTGAGCTCCCGGAACTGCACTTTCGAGATCCATGGCTATCGGGACCTGTCTCTCAAAAGGGGGGTGGGAGTCTAAAGTCATCTTTACACTTAAAATGTTTTAATTTTAAATACATTTGATATACCAATATTTTTCTTGCTGAAAATTAAAAGATCGCACAAGTAGCCTTCCTTTCCCTTCTGCCTACCAGCTGATCCCTCTTTCTCACCAGGAAGCATCCTCCTAATTTTTGGCCAAATCTCCACTTCCTTTTGCCCCCACTGCCAGGACCCATACAAGTGACTTCTGAACGGTTGCTATTTAGATGCTCCACCTAGCTGTCCCATGACTGAGGGACACTGGTCTTGTCGGAGAACAGTTCCAGCATCCCAGCAAGAGGCGGCAGACCAGGGTGGCCTCCAGTATGTTAGCAAGAAAGTGGTGTCAATAGGATGAATAAAACTAGTAAGTCAGGTGCGGTAGAATGCACCTGTAATTCCAGCAACTCAGGAGGCTGAGGCAGGAGTATTTCAAGTGTCAGGCCAGCCTCAGCAACTTAGCAAGACCTTTTCTCAAAATGAAAATAAAAGAGCTGGGGTTGTAGTTCGGTGGTAAAGCATCCCTGGGTTCATTCCTTAGCACTGGAAAAACAAAAATGTTGATTACCTGCATCTTGAAGCACAGGTGGTCACAGAATAGTTGTCTGGGGCAGGGGTGACTCTGGGAGAGGGCTTGGGTGGGGTCAATCTAAGAGGCCAACTGGTGTACCTGTCTGGGAGTTGGGATCCCTGATTTCAGGAGAGGGGTCTGGGGCTGGTGCAGAGAGGAAGCCAGAGGCCTGGAGGAAGGATGAGGGGCTGGAGTCTTGGTAAACAGAAGGAGGTGGGTATGTATGGAGGGAGATGCAGGCATTCTTGAGCTTAGCATCCTCAGTCACATCCTGGGGACCCTGGTGAGAGTGGCTTCCAGGGCCTGCTGGAGAGGAGGTGATCAGATTGCAGGAGCAAGAGGCAGGAGGGGAAGTGGAGCAGCCAGGTCTACCCAGAGGCAGTGAGGATGCCAGAGAGCGATAGGGAAGACGGGAGAGCTGGTCAACGGGGAATGGAGGGTCCAGGGTCTGCCTGCTCCTGCTGAAGAGGAGTGTGGACGAGTTGTGGGGTGCAGAGCTGGTCCCTGTTCAGGACGAGAGTAGAAGGGGAGGCAGCTTGTGATCACTACAGCTCTGACTTAGGATGCTTTGGGCTGCAAGTAAACTCCTTGGAGCCCCCAGACTGGTGGGTAGGGGAAGGAGGATGAGCCAAGCACCAGTCGGTGGTGAGCCACGCAAGACACATCATCATTTCATGGGCTACAAAGCAGAGTCCACGAGAGGTCATTTGTCCATGGTCACGCATATTTATTAGACAAATATTTATTGACCATCTATTATAAGCCAGACACAGGAGACACAGCTTAGAAGGAAATGAAGGTATCTGCCCTTCTGAAGCTCACATTCTAATTGAATGAGGGTGCAATTTTATTTATTTATTTATTTATTTATTTTGCAGCGCTGAGGATGAGCCCAGGGCTTTGCTCAGGTAAGGTGCGTCTACCACCGAGCTGCACTCCCATTCAGGAGTTGTGATTTTAAATTGGGTGGGTGGGGAAGTTGGGACAAGCCCCACTGAGAGCAAAAACTTGGAGGGCGGATTGAGCAGGAGGAACTCATGCAAAGTCCCTGAGGTGGGCGAGCACACATGTCCAGGGAACAGCGGGGAGGCAGGTGGGGGGGAGCATGAGGGCTTCTGCCATCATACAGGGAACCTAAAGGGCTTGGTTTTTTCCTCTGAGCTGTCGGGAAACTTAGGGAAGGTTTGGGGACAGTGAAGAGGGAGACTGGGGCTGGGTGTGGTGTCGTGTGCCTGTAGTTTCAGCTGCTCGGGTGGCTGAGGCAGGAGGATTACTTGAACCCAGGGGTTTGGGGCTAGCCTCGGCCACACAGACCCCATCTCAGAAAGAGCAGGGAAGACTCGGAGCTGGAACAGACCATGTGGGGGGCGAGGTGGAGCAGGACCAAGGCAGCGGCAGGGTGAGAAGGAAGCGGGTTCTGAACGAGGCATTTCCTGCAGACGCGGAGGGGTCTCCAGGGAAAAAGCCAAGGCCAAGGGGACCCCAGCCTTGGCCTGACCTGGGATCCTGACCTGCTTCCTCCCTCTGTCCCTGGCACTGGCTGACCCTTGTCAGTCTGGGTCCACCTTCTGCTGCCTCAGCCTCCCGGGCACTTCCAGACCTGAACTGGCCTGAGTCACCAGGTCCCCTCCCTGTCCCCTATCCAGAGAGCACTTTGTGAGCGCTTTCTTGTGAGCGCCTTCTCTGCACCAGCTGTGTTTGGGCACTGCCCCTGCCTCAACTTGTGCCCTCCCTCTGGGGCCCTGGGGTGGGGGGATTGGCTGGGGGTCCACTGCCTTGACCTACAAATTTCCAGGGTCTGTTGCACCCCGCAGTCTTCATCTCCAGGCCTCACCTAGCGCCCATTTCTTGTGGTGAAGGGAGAGAGAGTTGGCAGGGAGGCCCAACTCCACCTCAGCTGGGTGGCCTGGGGCACCAGCTCCAGCCTGTCCCGAGGCAGGGACGAGAGCAGGGGCCACCGAGGCAGGCCGGGCAGCAGGCCTGGCTGCCTGAGCTGGGGGTCTCTGTCCTAAGGTGCTGAAGACAGGGGAGGGGACAGGGCACTCCTGATGGGGTGGGAGTCACAGACGAAGCACAGGGTGGTCTGAGGCGAGAGACCCTGTGTCCCCCACAGCGCCCGGGGTGGCAGGGCTGCCAGTCTGTACCAGCGCCGCGAGGGTCTTCCATCCTGCCAACGGCCAGCACAGGCTCTGGGGGCACCGGGCCTTTGAAGGCGGGAAGTGGTGATGACCAGCTTAGCTGAAAAGCAAGGGACAGGCCCTCTGGGGCGCTGACGGGAGCAGGGATGGGCCAGTTTGGGGAGGGATGTCACAGGGAACTTTTAGCTACAAAGTGGCACCCAGGCCTTGCTGGGGGTCCTTAGGGTCCCACTCTGGGCTCAGCTGTTCCTGGGATCGAGGTGCGGGTGGGGGGAGGTGGGCAGGGGTCTGTCAGTGCCCTTCTGTGGGTACAGGTTCCAGCACATCCCCGGAGGCTGAGGGGGCGGGTGGCCCGCAGGTGGCCAGCTGCTCGCACACCCAGGCGTCCAGCTCGCTGCGGCAGGAGGCGTCGTTCCACTTGCCCGAGCCCAGCATCATCACGCAGTCCTCGCCCTGGTCCCCGTTGTTGGGCTCCCCCAGATTCCAGTTGCTGGGGGGAGAGGCTTGGGTCAGAGGATGGCAGCCCCTCCTGGCCCCTGGCAGGTCCCCCTGAGTCTGGGCCCACCCCCGTCGTCCTCCCTTCTTGTCCCGGGTTCCCCTTTCTGGGTCTGTGACTGTCTCCTTCCCCTGTCCCCGCTCAGCCTTGCCCTGAGCCTAGGCTTGCCTTCCACTCTGGGCTCGGGCGTCCTCCTCGAGGCCCTGCCGGGGCGCCCCCACCTCCGCACCTGTCCCCCAAGGCCCCCTCTCACCTGTAGTCCAGGGGGCTCCCGTCCATCCAGATAAACTCCCCCTCCAAGTCCAGGTCCCGGAGGCCAATCCAGGAGCCCTTCTTGCTGGCACGCTTGGTCAGGAAGTCCTGGGAGGCAGGACCAGGCTGGAGATGGGCCCGGTCCCTCCCGCTCACTCCAGGAGGCTGGGGTGGGACGCCCGCCCCCCACCCTGCTGCCTGCAGCCTCAGCGGAGCCCAGGCCACCTGCTCCTCCTGGCTGTGGATGCTGACCAGGCGCCCTTCCAGGTCGTCGCAGGTGAACCGGGCCTGAACCCAGCGCTTGGCGCCCTGGCCGAAGTAGTAGCACTTCTGTCGGAAATGGAGCCACCCCTCGGGGCACATGTTGCACGTGGAGCCTGGGATGGCACACGGAGGAGAGGCTCAGGGTGGCAGGGCGGTGGGCACCATGATGGGCACGGTGGGCACGGTGGGCAGGGTGGATGTCCCCTGAAGCCACTTGTGGGTCCTCCCCAGAGCCTGACAGTCTCGCAGGCTGACTTCTTCACTGGGCTCTGACAAGGCCACGCAGGACCAGCTCCAGGGCACACAGGGCACACCAGCCCACACACCACCTCACAGCCAGAGGCACCTTGGTCCATGGCCAGAAACCCCTCAACTGCTGGCATCGTCACTATACGTGAACCCGTGGTCACCAACACCATGGACATAACACAAGCCCAACCATCACCACCACAAACCCCTCCACGGGCACATTAATCACCACCGCCTTCGTCACAGAGACGCCATTGCCGCATCACCTCATCACCAGCATCACCACGGACACCTCCAAGGTCAGCAGCCCCTTCATCACCAATGTCATTGCCACAGGCACCAGCTGCCACAGCAACAGTCTCCATGGCCCACACCAGAGCAGATGCCACCTTTACCAACCTTGCCAGCCACATCTTTGTCACCAGCACGCTGCCCTGGGCTCTATCACCACCAACAGCTCCAGTGACAGTGGTGGCCACCATCACTGGCAGCACCCCCAGACCAGATCTCCTGGCTCCTTTCTGGGGAGCCAAGATGGCTGGCTTCCTTCTGCTTAGAGGTACATGGACGGAGAAGGGACCTCAGCGCCAGTCCCCAAGCGCCTGTGTGAGGCCAGCTTGGTCTCTTTCTCCCCTTTCCCCATTCCGGGGAAGCCCTCAGAAACAGTCATGGTCCCCAGGACTCCAAGGTGGGAGCTTAAACCTCCCGTTACTGGCTGGTTCTCTCTTGCTTTAAAGTAGACCCCCCCCTTTTCTTTCTTCTTTTGGTGCTTGGGATCAAACCCGGGGTCCCATGCATGTTAAGCACACGCTACACCAGGGAGCTCCTCTCTAGCCCTGAACTAGACCTTTTTATAGTGTTGTGTAGGGAAGGCTCTGGAGATGGGGAGGGGGCTTGGGCTGGAAATGGCAACCAGTCCCCAGCCCTCTGTGGGCACAGCATTGAATGGGAAGAGAACAACTCTAGGCCCAGAGAGAAGGCCTTAGGGCTGGACATAGTGATGTGGGCTTGTGGCCCCAGCAACTTGGGAGGCTGAGGCAGGAGGATCGCTTGACCTGGGAGCTCGAGGTTGGCCTGGGCAGCAGTAGCAAGACCCCATGTCAATTTAAAAACTAATCATAAAAAGAAGAGTTCAGGAAAGGTGTCTTGGCTGTCACCACAAGGTCACCCAGAGGCAGTGCCAGAGCTGGGCTCAGATCCCAGGCGGGGGGAGTAGACCTCAAGGAGAGGTGGAAGTGGGGAGGTGGGTCAGGGGTAGCACCACCTGGAGCCCCACATCCACCACCCTCCCCAGGGGACCACAGCGGGGTTTCTTGCTGGGATTCCCAGAGCCACGCCACACCCTGGGGCCTGGGACTTCTTCTTCTGAAGCAGGGTCCTTCCTCCTCTTTACCGGGTGGGTGGGGGGGGGGGCAGCGGGGCCTCCCCGGAGATGGAAAAAGGAAGATGGAGGGCAGGGGTGTTGGTGGGGGGCTGACAGCAGTCCAGGCACCATTTCCTGGGCTCTCTGCAGCCTGCTGGCCTCCTGGTCAAGACCCCTCCCTCTCCCCGGACAGGTCAGTCTACCAGGGGGCTGCGGTGGTGGGTGAGGAGTGAATCCTGCTGATGTCTGCCCCCACCCCACCCCGCTGAGCCCCCTGGGTGGGCAGGACAGCAGAAAAGGGAACCCAGTAGGGGTCAATCCTGGACTGATTTGACCCAGAGCCGGCTAAAGGCTTGGGAGCCCTGGAATCAGCGAGGGAGGCAGTTGAATCCCGAGGGCATCTCTGTCCTTCAGCTGCCCCCCTCCTCCACAAGCCTGGACCCATCGACATCCCCAGGCAAACCCTGCCGCACACACCCCCTGTGTCCCCAAGAGACACTGCTGCACAGACACACAGACACCCCACATGCACACGCACACCAGCCGTCATGTGTGTCTCCAGCACACCACAGTGACCGTGCCCCCACCGGCCCCAGACCCACACTCACCCTTGGACACCAGTATCTCCATCCACAGCTTGGCCACCTCTTCCTGGAGCTTTTGCAACGAGTCGGAGGCGGCACGCCTCTCATTCAAGCCTTGGGGGACAGGAAGGGGGCGGTGCTCAGGGACAAGCGGCAGCCCCCCACCCCCCACCCCGCCTTCCCAAGCCTCACTCTGGGACTTGCTGTCGCTCAGGTCTGCTCGGAGTCTGTCCAGGTTCCAGGAGAGCTCAGAGTCTGGCGGATGTAAGAGGGCAGGGCTGGGGACGATGCTTAGGGGCCAGAGGGTCCCCGGGCCTGGTGCCCCGTGGCTCTGGGGCTGTCCCTCCCACAGTCTGCCCCGGGCCCCTGCCCGTCTCTCACCCTGAGATTCCAGTTGCGTCTGCTGGGCCTGGAGTCTTTTCACGTTCTGCGACAGCTGAGCAGCTGGTTCAGAGAAGTGGCCCCTGAGTCCCCAAGCCTCCCACATCCCCACTGGGCGCCCAGCCTCTTTCTCTGGGTTCTCAGGGCTGCCTGCTCAGTCCCCAGGTGTCACACTGGGCCCTGCCATGCTGTGTGCAGTGGCCACCCAAGCCCCCATCCTCCCCCATTCCGAGTCCCCATCCAGAAGAGCCTCACCCTGGGACTTCTGGGCCATTTGGTCACTCTGGTATCTGTGCAGGTCCTTGGAAACTTGAGAGACTGGGGCGTGGGACAGAAGAAGTGTCCTCAGGAACTACCAAGACGGGGCCTTGAACCCCTCCTGCCCCCGAAGCGAGGGGGCCTCCTTCGCATCGTCACCAATGGTGGCTTTTCGTTTCTCGAGGGTTTTAGGGGGGAGGCGGGCATATACTCAGGGAGATGCAGCAGGAAGAGAAGGGACCTGTGGACCCTCCCCTCACCAGGGTGAAATGCAGAAGTCCCTGAGGGCTTTGCGCGTCTGCCCAGGCGCAGCCCACGGCTGACAGGGACCCACTGCAGAGGAGTGGACGAGGCCGGCAGGGCAGCCTCCAAGCCCGCGGGGAGGGGGCGTCACGGGGGCACACTGAGGCCCAGGGAGGGGCCGTCCCCGGTGTCAGTGGTAGAAGGGGGACAAGAGCAGGGTGTCCCAGCCTCCACCTCGGCCTCCCCTACCGTTCCGGGCAGCAGAGTCTTCCAGCTGTCTCAGGTTCCGCTCGGTGTCCCAGTCTGGGGAGGGGAGAAGGTGAGGACCACCAGCTGCTTCCACGCACCCCTACCCCCTGCCAGCGGGGATCGGAGGCTTGGGGTACAGCTCGAGGGAGTTGCTCAAAGGCTGGGGGACAGGGAAGTGTGTGTGGGGGGCTCCAAGGAGGGACTGGCCATTGGGGAAATTGGGCTCCAAAGGGGGTGGGGCTCTCCTGGTGCTAAGATGAGGTGCGGGGGGATAAAGGGCCCGGGGGGTGGGGCATGGGGCTGGGGGTGTCCTTACGCCACAGAAGAAGCAGGGTGAGCAGCCCAGCCCACAGCACTGCGGTCAGCATCCCCAACAGTACGAGCGGCAGCCTCGGCCTGCAGCATCGCCTCCTGGGGGGCTCCAAGAACCCTGCCCGGGGTGGGGGGTTTAGGGAGCAATGAGGGGCCCAGGAGGAGGCTGGGCCCAGCTCTGCTCATCTCCCCTTCACCCAGAGCCCCAATATTCTGGGAACATGTCCAGAAGCCACACTGCAGCAGAGGGTCTCAGTGGACCCCCAGCTTCTCCTGCCCACTGTCTCCACATGCTGCTCTTGACCAGTGCCCCCGTCCACACTGTCCAGGGGGTTTGTCAGCCCTCCTGAGCTCTGTCTGTCCGTCTCTGCCTCTCTGAGTCTGTCCCTTTGGCTCTGCCTGTCCAGCTTGGTGCCTGCTCACACTCCAGCAGGTGGTGAGTCTGATGTGGGTCCAGGTCCTTTCCAGAGGCTGCTCCCCCATCCCTACACTTGGCCCCTGAAGATGTATCCAGATGCCTGTCACCAGCCCTGACCCCCTTCCCCGGGTCTCAGTCCTCCCCTGCATCTAGCTCCCCCAGGCTCACCCCAGCACCTGGCTCCCCAAGGCTCTCCCTGATCACCCACTTTGGCCCCGCCCCTCTTCACTCTGGCTTTGAGGGCTCGTCATGCCAGATTCCACTTGACCCCGTCCCGCTCCACTCGGCCTCCGCTCGCCGGGCACCAGCTCTGGTTGAGCCGGGGTTTTGTGGAGAGGCGTTGAGTCAGCGCAGGGAGGGGCCTGGCTTCCTCCTCCCGCCTGGCTCACCTCCCACCCACCGGGGCCTTTCTTAGAAATGTGCCCTGCGGCCGGGGGGGATCCCCCTCCTCCCCTGGCGGATGTAGGACAGGGACCTGCTCTTGCCAGGTGACCCCGGGAGTCCTCCCACCTGCGTATTCGTGTCCCGCCATGGCAGTCCTGCTGGGATCTTCCTGGTGACGGGACGCTCACTGCCCGCCAAGGTAGTCCCTCCACGGCACGTCACAGCTCCGCCTGGGACCTGGGTTTTAATGCAGCATGGAGCTCTGGCCATCGGCACGGGACAGAATCTGGGACCTGGGGGGACCCAGTGTCCATTTGCTGATTGTTTTGATCATGAGCCTCGGGGTCAACTGGGAGATAAGCTGGTGTGTCCTCAGCCACCTGAGGCCACGCTACCCTCGCCCATCACACGTGAGACCCTGTAAACGTGTGCCAGCGAGGTCTTGGCACACGACTGGACTTCAACGTTTCTTCTCTTGTCCGTAAAATGGAGATATGAGAATGTGTGGGATTCTCTGACCCAGGCCAGCCCAACAGAAGCACCCAAATACCACCAGCTCTGACTGGGATACTGTGCAGCCTCGACGGAGGGGTCAACCTCTCTGAGCCTCAGTTTTGTCCTTTGTAAAATGGGGATGACAAAGCACCCAACTCATCAAGGAGATAGTGCCCGCGAGGGTCTCAGTGTGGTGCTGCCTGCAGGGGGTCTTCAGAGCCTAAATGTTTATCAAGCTGCTGAGAAGTGCCGGCACTCTGTCCCCCAGTGGCTCCCGGTCCTCTGACTCTAAGGCTCCACATGTGGGAGAGTGAGCCTGGGGTCACAGCTGTCCCCCTCCTGGTGCCAAGTTGCCTGCCCTCTCTGAGTCTTAGGCAGGTGGCGACGAGGGCTGGCCAGGCTCTGATTAGCTGCAGGTCAAGCCAGCTCCTCACCGTCACGGGAGGAGGCCAAGTGTCCCCGTCCTGGGGTAGCGGGACGCGCCTGACCAGAGCTCTGGCTTCTCCCTGGACGGGTGACTCAGTTTACCCATTTGTGCACTGGGAAGAGCCACAGAGCTGCCTCGTAATCCGTGGGCACCTCCTCACTCCACAGGGCCTCTCACGGGCCCTCAGAGACACCAAGAGGGGTCTGCCTCACATAGTGACAGGACTGGGACTGAAACCCTGGACATTTGATCAACCATCTGGAAACACAGGCTTCATGGAAGGGTGTCTGCTGGCAAGTGGCAGGATCCTGACACCTGGCCATATTTTTAATCTGAGAGGTCTCGTCCCTGCCTACAGCCTTCCGTGGCTCCCCAGCACCTCCCCGATCAGTCCCAGGGCACCCCCCAAGCTCTCCTCTGCTCGGTCCAGCCTGCTGGCTGGATTTCACTTGCCCAAACCTGGCGGCCCAGGCCTCCTGTTCTGTCCACACGGTTGCCCCCTTGCCCACCACCCACCTCTCTTCCCAGGCTACAACCTCCTCCTGTCACCCCTGGAGGCTCAGCTCGAGGTGTGTCTTCCAAGAGCCTGTGAAGCCCCTGACACGCGCATGTGCACACACGATCACATACCTGTCTGTGTTCAACCTCCTCACAGCCACAGCCTCACTCAGGCCTGTAGCGCGTCCCTGTCCCCTTGGTGCGCGGGTGCCAATCCGTGAAGTCAGCGTGGCCCAGAGCGGTGGAGAGAGGCTGGAGCTGCCGGGGACAGCTAGACCCACTGGTGGCTTCTATTGTCACAGACCTTGTGGGCTCACCACCTGGATAACCGCAGTGCACACATGGTCTTTTCTGGGGCTCCCCGCAACCGGGGGAAGTCCGGGCTATTATTATCTTCATTTCTTAGGTAAGAGAACTGAGTGAAAGCCATGCCAGCCTTCGCCCTCCAACTCTGGGGGAGGAAGTGGTAGAGTCAAGATCAGAACCACAGGCCTGGCACCTCGGTGCCTTACACATTTGGTTTTCACAACCACCTGGGAAGTTGATACTTTGGTTATCCATGCTGCCTATGGTTAAAAGATGTAGAGCACAGAGAGGTTAAGTAACGTGCCCAGGGTCACACAGTTCATAAATGACAGAGCTGGGATTTGAACTCAGGCAGTGTGGGCAGCCCTAACCACTATACCACCCAACCTCCTATTGACACGGACCCCTTGGCCCTTCATCTCACGTGCTCTTCATTTGTAAAACGTCCTCTGATCCTTGATGGAGGAATGGCCTTTTCCCCCAACCCACCTCCATGTCTCTTGGATGGGAAGATGCCTACCTCCCCACCCCCCACCAGGCCTGACCAGGCTGGGCTGTCCACTGGAGCTGGACATCAGCCTCCCCACTGGCAGAGAGGCACCTGGCTGAACTGTCCTCTGGATGGTGCTCTTCAGGACAGCAGGGACCCTGCGCTTGACAGGGGCTGGGGGCTGGGTGGCCAGGGAGGAGCAGGCGGGAGGACTTGGAGGGGCAGCCTGGGCAGCGGCTGTTGGGGGGTGGCCACAGGCCAGTTTGAGGTGTGGGTGGAGGGTTGGGAGGTGCTGTGGACAGCGCCTGGGCTCCTCTGGGGTGTCCGAGAAGACAGCCTGCGGTCCACTGAGGGCCACTCAGGACAGGGGAGAATCTTGGGAACGAGTCCTGTCAGGGCAGGGGGAGGGACGGGATGTGGTGTCCCTGCTCCTGTCCACGGGAGCCCACTCTCCCACCGGCGCCTCCCAGGCTCCATGCTGGGTCCTCATCCAGACTCCACTCAGGCAAGAGGATGCTTGGGGCCCAGGGGACCGGGCACACGACGGTCCTGCCCCTTCCTCTCCGGGGTATCGACCCACATCTCCCACACACTTCGGGGGAAAACAGGAAACGGGGCGGATGTGGGCCCCGGGTCTGAGGGTGTTGCTTCTCCTTTCAGGGTGGCGATCACTGAGCCTGGGGTGGGGCCTTGCTCGCCCTGCGTCCAGGCTCTGGCCTCAGCAGGAGCCAGCCTGGGGTCCAGCTGGGATCCAGCCAGGCCCAGCCCTGCCCAGAACCTCGACTCCTGCTTGACCCCAGCAGGTTCCCTTTCCCAACCCTCCTCGGGGCTCTGGGTGGGGCCCAGTGTCCACGTCTGCCACACAGAGGTCCGGTCTGGACTGTGCACCTGGGTGGGCAGAGCCTACAGCCCTGACCCAGCCCTGTCCCAAGACAGCCCCAGGCTCCCCGAACTGTTGGGCCACTCCTGGGGTTTCCAAGTGCAGGGGAGCGGGAGACCTGGGGGCAGGGGAGGGCAGTGGGCATGCCAAATCCAGGGGGGCTCCCTGGAGGAGGTCCTTCCAGCCGCGCTGCTCATTTTCCACACTTTTGATCTTGGGGCAGAGACTCCTTGCTGGGGACCATCCTGGCCCCTGCCTGCTCTGTGCCACCACTGATCACCACTGTTTAGAAACGCGATTCCTAGACGCCGAGAAAGCAGTGTCACATTGTTCTGGTTTTTGCTTTACCTGTGGTCAAATACGCACAACACCCTGTCTGAGCGCAGCGTCCAGGGCGCTAAGCACAGTCACACTGTGCGGCTGTCCCCAGAGCTCTCACCCTCCAAGCTGAAGCTCCCAGCCCTCCCAGCCCCTGCCACCCACCCTCCTACTCCCTCTCTGTGGCTCCTAGGGCCTCCTAGGACCTCCTGGGAGTGGATCTTGTGGTGTCGGTGGGAGGCCGACTCATCCCACTGGGCATCACGTCCCAGGCCCATGGTTGCATGAAGAAGAAGTTTGACACCACACACGTGCGGGCCACTTTCAGGTGGTGGGGGCGGGTGGGCCTGGTGGCAGCTGGCTCCGACCCTCGCTGCTGGAGCCTGGCTTGGGAGGTGGCTTGAGTGGACGGTTCAGGGAGGAGCGGAGCTTCTGTGCCTTTAGTTTCAAATGCTTCATGCCACTGTGGGTCCCCCTAGGGAGCCCCAGCCTTCATGCCTCCCCTGGGGAGGTCCATGCAAAGCCCACGGCCTCCCCACCTGTATGCCTGGCTCAGCAGCCTCTGCACCCCGCCCCACAGGCTGTTCTCCAGGGGAGGGCACCAACACCCGAGTGCTGGTCAGCTACCCTGTGGGCCAGGGACTTAGCCTCTTGAGGGACACAGGGGGAAACTGGGAATTCTGAAGTAGGGTGAGCCCAGTGAGGTCTCCCAGGATTCATCAGTGCAAGGAATGCGGGGTGTGGGCCCCCCAACACACAGGCACACACGAACAAGTCACAGACACCCAGCACACAGGCACCACACAATAAAAGCACAACACACTTGTACACAAGATACAGACACACAAACACAACACAATCCAATGGAACACAATAAGAGCACACACACAGATATAACCCACAGACATCTACACAGCACACACAAAGAGACCACACAGCACAAACACAGATACAGTAGGCATACACAGTGTGTGCACAGACACACAGAAACACAGACACAACACAGCCAAACCACACACACACATCACAAAAAAGACACGGAAGCCACCCATGGACACATGCGACATATATGCAAGATACAGCCAAACTACTGACACACAAACCACATGAGATACAACTCAGTACAACCACTGACACACAGGCACACACACAACACACAGCACGAGCCCGGAGATGTAGACCCACACAATCAAACTATAGGTAGCACACCGAGCGGGATACAGACACACAACAGGACCACGCACATAAACACACACACACACACACATATATTTGCACAGAAACACATAAACGAAAAGTAGGGACATACGGAGACACAACCCAGATGTGCAACACACCCCCCCACACACACACCCGCACGGCAGGACGTGGTGGAGACAGACGCAGGCGAGCGCCCTCTGCTGGTCTTCTGAGCTGCTCGTGACGGCAGCCACGCCCCCTCCCCTTGCTCTCCTCCAGCCTGCAGGCCTCGGTTTCCCCGGGACGCTCGCTCCGCCTCTCCTCCACCCTCAGCATCACCCTCCACCTGCTGACCCCCCACGTCACTGTCTTCAGCCCAGGCCTCTCTCCTGAGCCTCTTTGTTCATCTTTTCCTACCCTCCCCCCCTCCCTCCCGCTATTCACTCAACAGGTTTCCTGCTGCAGGCTGTCGCCCCGCCCCCCTGGGCAGAGCAGCACGTGGACCTGTCATTCCATCAGGGCTGCAGACCGATGTCCTAAAGCAGATCAAAGGTGACATAGGAGCTGGCTCAGCAGGCTGGTCAGCCAAGCCCTCTGCGTGGGCCACATCTGAGCAGGGACCCCTGAGCTGTATGCAGGAACCAGCCTGTGGAGGTGGGGGAGGGGTCCGTGCAGAGGAACAGCCACCGCGAAGACCCTGGGCCCTGCTGCCTGGTGCCGGAGGACCTCCAAGGAGGTCAGTGTGGCTGGAGCAGAGTGAGCCTGGACGCAGTCCTTGCCCCAGGCTAGCACAGCACTGCCCCTCAGCACCGCTGGGCACCAGCCAGAGGCTGCAAGTCACCTGCCTCCTTCCTGCTCCTACCTGCACATGCACCATCGTTTGACGGCCCATCTCTTCTCTTGAATGCCCCCAACACCAGCCATCTCCCTTTGTCCCAGACAATGGCAGCAAGACCCTCCATGGTCTTCCTGAGGCCCCTCAGCCCATTCCCTGCACCACAGCCGTCCGACCACGTCTCCCTCCTGTGGGTCACCTTCTGGCTCCCTTCTACTCTAGTCCTAAAGTCCCAGCTCCCTGCAGCCTGGTGTTCAAGGTCGCACTTGGGCCTCTCCAGCTACACCTCCCCCACTCCCTCCAAGAGTCTCCAAGTGCCTGAACTTCCCAGAGCTCTTGGTACCTCCGGGTCATTGCGTAGGCCATTGTCCCCACCTGGAGGGCCAGTTTGCACAAAAGCTGCCTTGATCATCGAGGCTGAGCCCCCATGGTCCTCTAAATCTCCTTCTCCAGCCCTGAGCTGTGGACTCTTCCCAGAAGGGCCAGGGCGGTGGCCCCAAGACCCAGTCACACCCCCCCCACCATCAAGTGCTTCCCTACCCTGACCCCCTGAGAACAGATCAACAGGAAGAGGGACAGGCAGTGGGATGAGCTCTGTGGCCTTCCTGGAGGCCCAGGACTGGAGCCAGAGCCTGTTTGTTTGTGTGATGTTGGGGGCAGGGTCTGGAGAGGCTGGAAAGGCTGGCATTTGTGGGAGGGAGTTCTCAGGAGGGTGTGGATTTGTCCACACCCTCCCCTCTGCAGGGCTCCCCAGAGCTCAGGAGGGAGTCCTGGGCCTGCAGCCCCTCCTTCCTGCCTCCCTCAGGCTCCTAGACACCCCACGGAGGAGGAGGCTGGGCAGGCCCAGCTGGGACTTCTGAGGGTGGCCCTGGGCTAGACTGGGAGGTTAGGGGATTTCTCTCTGAGAATTCCCGAGTTCCCTGAGAGTTGGGGACTCTCAACCTTCAGAGACCCAGAAATCCTGGACTTCAGGCTCTACTCTGAGCAGGCCCCCCACTCCCTGGAGACCAGGAAACCAGGCCTCTGCTCCCAGCCCTCACAGACCAGCCCGCGACCCGAGTCAGAACCCTTGACCTCACCCTCAGAGATCCAGAGATCCCCCACTCTTTAGGGATCCGGGAGGCCTGGACCCCACTCCAACCCCCAGGGACCCAGGCCCCCAGCTCCTTATGGAGTCAGGAAGCTGGGACCCTAATCTGATCCTCAGGGGCCCAGGCTCAGCCCCTTAGGCACCCAGGAAGCCAGGACCCCCAGACCCTTCCCTCAGGGACCCAGGGCTCCAACTTCTTAGGGACTTTGGAGGAGGTCTGTGTGTTTTTCTTCTCCACTCCTGCTCCCAGGCCCCCTGGGTCTGGCAGGCAGTGGGGTCACTGTCTTCTGCTGGACCCACACCTGGTCACTGCCCCTCACAGGGG